GGGGCGGGCGGGGGCGCAGCCGGGGCTGGCGGGTGGCAGCCGCAGCAGCAGCCTCTGCGCCTGCGCGGACCGTCGCCGGTCTCGGTGCTTAAAACGTTCCCAACAGAACAGGCTTCTGAGAGAGGGAAAGCCAACGTCCCAACATGTTTGCTCTGTTTCTGGAGCTAAAGATGGGGACCATGAGATGCCGACAGCCGGAGGGAAAGGGAAGGGTCACGGCCACGATCCTTGGCGTGCAGACCGGAGAGCCAGCAGGGCTTACTCCTGAGTAAAAGTGCCTCCCTGGGCGCCCTCGCCCGGCAGAAGGCTTCCCTTCCAAAGGGCCGCTTGCTCCCGGAGTCAGTTCTAGGGAAGAGCAGTGGGGCTTACTTACTCCTGAGTAGGCACGCTCTTCAATGGGCCCTGCCTCTCCCCCATACCTGGAATAAAAATGTTTTGGAGTCTTAAACAAATCTGTGGCCGCAAATGCGGTGGTCTCTCTCTCTGGCTCCCTCCCTCCCTCCCTCCCTCCCTCTCTCCTGGCTTGTTGTTCTGGGTGCAATTTTCCATTTATTTCCTCGGGAGCCGGAGCGGATCGCGGGGAGAGGCTGGGCTCCTTGTGAGAAATGTTATTTTTTCATCAATCAGCCGCAATTTGGCTAAGTGGCCCGGACAGGATACCAGCAGTCCCGGCAGGTGGCAGCCGTAGCAGCAGCCTCTGCGCCTGCATGGACCAGCTGCCGGCCGGGGGACAGGGAGCGGGTGCGTCGGGCTGGGCCAAGCCCCCATTAGAAGACAGGCCGCCTGAGCCCACCCCAGCCCCGATGAGTGGCCGCCGGCGGTCAGAGGGGAGCCCACCACCAGATGGAAACGTGGGGCGCCTCGGGTGGCGCTTTTGGAGGGAAAGGCACAGTTTTTAGGGAGCGGCGCCAAACTGCACCCGCCTCCGCCTCTGCCAAAAGCCTTGCATCTCCATTACCGCCGCCGCCACCTCTTTCTCCCTGAGTCTGGCAAGCTCAGTGCTTTCTGGACTCGGGGAGAAAGAGGCAGCGGCGGCCAGGGAGATGCAGGGCTTTTGGCGGGAGCCAGGTCCAGTTTGGCGCCCCAAGGGACAGCTCGCGCTCTAGGCGAATGCCTAGTTCACCTAGCGGGTGAGCCGGCCCTGTTTGCAGGCTTAGCTACTATCATCTCTCAAGCCCCTCGCTAGCCTGAGAAGGCACTCTGCTCCAAAAAGAATAGTTTTCATTTCTGTAGGTCTACCATTTCCCCCTCATATGTCTCAAAAACTCCTAGTGAGAAGTGACTTCTAGTGTAGCTTCTGACCTGCAACATATTTGCTCAAGCAGGTGTCTGTGCTTCCAATTAGGTCAGAATAAAGTTTATACATAACATCCTTGACTGTCTAGGGTAACTTTGGTATGAATTCAAGGTGAATATTGTTCTTTCAATTTTGATATTTTTTTGCTGGAAGTGTGTTAGTCCATGTAAGCTGAACCTGTGGGTACTGAGGGTATAAATTGTTGAAGTTGTCTTTGCTCTGGGCTGGTCTTCAATCTGCTCTCTGAGAGCTCTTGTTGTTGACGAGACCAGCGCACTCTGTATTTCATACTAGTTCACTATGTTTGTGTTGAAATATTCTATGCTGAATATGGAAATGTTATGTTTTCGTCCTAAAAGATTTGTAAATGCTAAAGTGCCTTCCTTCTTTAGAAAGTTTATATTGTAAATAAACTGGTTTTGTTTGAGAACTATGGTCTCTCTCTCTATTGGTTCCGTCACTCTCTTCCCAGTCTCCACCCAACCAATAAGAGAACTAAATGGCAACGGGAGGGTCCCAGAATCCCGTAACACTCACCTCTCCTACCTGGACTGGAGGTACGGCAGCCGTTTCCACACCTCTGAAAAGATGTCGGCTCCACAGCATCTCTTCACTGCCTGTTCCTGAGACAAAGGAGGAAGGAAGGGTGTTGGCTTGCAGGTTCCCTACTTCACACAACTCCTTCCCAGGGTTGTGAAACCTCACCCTGTGTACACACAACATATTTTTAAACACTTTTTACTAAATTCTGGGAGAGGTGGAAGAGAAGCATATGGTACCCATGAGCCTCAGGGATTATAAATGCAGCCAACATATTCCAGACTTCTTTGAGACTTGTGTTTGCTTGGCGGGGAGGGAAAGACATTGCATGACGTGACACTGTCACATTCGGACCAGACGTGACTTGAGCACATCTGAAGACTCGAGGGTAATATGAGTGAGTTTTCAGAGTGTCTCTTGGCAGGCTCATTTCCCAATCAGGTTTTCAGCCAGACGCAACATCAACGTGAGATCAGATCTGTTCCAAGCCCCTCCCAAAAGCTCCTGGGGGTGCCAGGCCACAGCCTGCCATCTGTCTCCCAGCATCCTATTTCCCACAGCAGCCTCCCAAAAGCCCCTTGAAGCAGAGGCACAGAAGTCAGATTCTCCCAGTATTACTGGCCCTGAGGAACTGGTTTTCAGAGCTCTGCTGCCCCAGAAGGTGGAGGCTGCTGACATCCACCAGTCTGAATAGTTCTGCTGAGGTTGGTCCACCTTCCCTCCCCACAACTTGATTTCTTTTTATGGAAGGAAGGTGAGATGTGAACTTTTTAATTAACGGGAGAAATTGCTCTCCAGGAATTTGTCTAATCTCCTTTTGGAGGCATCAGATTTAGTGGATATCGAGTGCCACAAATTAACTCTTTGTTTTGTGTAGAACTATTTATTTTTCTGTCCTGACCCATCACTTTCCCAGGGTGTCCCAACTGCATGCAGGCACAACGGGTCCTTACCAAATGAGAGGGGATCTTGGGCACGCTCCATGGCCTGCGCCCCCTGCCCTTGCCCCAAGGAAGCTCCTTCCGCTTCAGGGATTGTAGCTTCCATCTTCAGGGATGGTCCCCCATCTGAAAAAAGCAGCGAGGCAGAGGGATAAGAGATGGAATGGAAAAGAGACCCAGGAATGGATCCGGCCCCACTCCCAGACTCTGCACCCATCAGACCTGGTGAGTTATCTGGAGAAATCAGAAATAGACTAGTAGAAGAGGCTGCTGAAGGAGACCATGAAATCTCCCACTTGGATGATTAAAAGCTGGGCAATTACCTGGCAGAGAACCTTTAGGATAAGGCCCAATATCATTGCTTGAATTGGACACACCTGGAGGAAACCCCCTCACCTGCTCTGCCTGCCTCTTCTCCTCTGCCTGCCTCAGGAGGAGACCTCCGGCCAGGGCCACAGCCTGGGAACTGGTCTCTGGCCCACATCCTCTGACCCAGCAATGGGTCAGGCCAGAAGCCCCTGTGCTCCCACCACCAAAAGAGGGAGGGGGTCATAGGGAGGTTTTTATTATCACACTCTTCTCTGCCTTAAACCATCTCAATCTGTCTTACAATTCCCTTCCTTTACCCTCTGCAGAAGAGGCACAGAGTGAGGTAGGTGGGGCCGAGAGAGCTTTGGGAGAACTTGGACCGGACCAAGGTCACCTGGCAGCTTCACCTGGAGGAGGAGGAGTGGGGAATCAAACCCGTCAGTCTTCAGCATGACACCCTGTGTACTTGGGGGGGGGGGGGGGGGGAGGGTTGGGAGGGGCTGTTTTTCTGCCAGAGGGCATTTCTCCCCTGCTCTGATCAAGTGGATTCTACTTTGTCTGGTAGGTCTGGCCCTCTCACCTTGTGGCTGGAAGAGATCAGAGCACCCGGATCTGGGATCTCAGAAACGGACACACCCAAAAGAGGCCGGCCCCTTCGACCAAGAATTGATGGGCAGC